GATGTAAATAAACGTATCGAGCATAAAATTGTATATTGTAGTATAGTATATTTACCTACCTTCAAGACATTCGCCTGTTTCTCTATCACATGGTTTACTTAATGAGCATGGGCATTGCAGTGTACAGAATTCACCATAGAAACCACGGTCACATGTTGTAATATTAGTGGGATCTAATAAAAGTTAAAATTGTAAGAGTTTTCAGGTTGGAAGCCGTTAGTTCACATCCGCTTACTGGCTCAGTCTAAATTTAAAATGTCAGGCCAGTATCAGACATTCATTTATTGGAAAATCTTATTGAGAAAGTTGTTTTCAATAAATTGCTTTCAAAATCAAAAAAGAGTTCCTGAAAATACCATTAAATTGTACTATTTTTTGACATTAAAATTTATTTCAACTGGTTCATTATTATTGAACTTAAGTATAACCAACATGTAACAATCTCCTGGAAACCTACATACATTTTCTTATAGTTGTGTTTATAATAATAAAAAATGTAATATAGACCTATGGATATAATAAGATGCAACGAGGTGAGATAGAAATGATTGTTTAATGAAGATATTGCAGTTAAAGCGTACAGTCAATACATTCTCCCGTTGTCCTGTTACAAGCTTGTCTGAAATCACATTGACATTGGAATTCACAGCTTTCTCCAAAATCGCCAACTGTACATACAGCGTCAGGACCAGGATCTGTCATACCAAGCACAATAAAATTTTAAATAGTTAAGATATAGGGTACAATTCAATTAAATTTAATGTCTACAATACCAATCTATAAATGCAATGATAATAATCACATATTTAAAATATAATAAAGGCCTTTATAAGTAGCAGTCATTATGTACAGTAGGCGTAATAATTACATTTAGATGAAGGTAAAAAAAAAGTGCAGTCGAATACAAACTGATAATTACAACAAGACAAACGACGTACAATTACCAACCATGTTAAAGATCAGTGTTAAGTAATGTAAAAATGAAAATTACAGTGACCTTAAAAGTATGCATTACTAATTACTAAACAGTTCAGTATATGAAGGCTTCATAAAGAAATTTCAAAAAATGTGTAATATTAGTTTGAAAACGAAACGAATATGTATACTGTATATTCTGCGACAGTGATTATTAGTTGACTATATTCATTGAAAGGTTACAACTGTAAAAGAGATCGAACCTTTGCAAGTGTCGCCAATGAATCCGTCCGTGCATTGAGATCCAACCTCGCATCCATAAACATAGTTACAATCGTCATCTCCGCAATGGCACAGGAGATCACAGTCTGGTCCGTACTGACCAGGTTCACACACTTAAATAAGCAATAAAATTACAATTGTACTTCATGGAAGTCGTACATTTTCTATATTGTCAAAACATGTCATTACAAACTAAATAATGTTATGTTCCACTTATTTTAATTACCCATATTTCTAAAACTCATGGCCTCAATACCAGATTGCATTACATTATAATAAGCCCTCCTAGATACAACTGCTCATACGGTAACAGTGCTTATTCATATTAAAATTTTTTAAAAATTTAATGCCAACAAAACAAACAAATTACGTCACAGAATAGATATAAAAACGAGCCAAAAACTAGGCCAAAATGTTGTAAAATAATACCAATATATCTTACTTTGGTCACAGTAAGGACCCATCCAGCCAGATGCGCAAACACAACCTAATGGGTCCGGGTAACAAAATCTAATTCCGCTACAGTTGCCATTCGGTTCACTTCTGCATGTTTTACTGCAAGTAAGTCCAAAAGCATTATCCTGTTCAGGGCAAACTGCAATATCAGAAATAACTTTTTCTTACAATTAACGACCATGGCATACAGTTTCAATCTGATTTATAATAAACACATCTGAAATAACCAACATAAAAAATAAGGTATGAACACCAAGTCAAACCTGTTTCACATTGGTCTCCCATGAATCCAGGAGGACACACGCACGTACAAGTGTCAGCCGAACAAACACCGCCGTTGTAGCAAATAGGACAAGTATCAACACATGCTGGACGACCGCACAAACCGCTTGGGCAGCCTTAAGATAAAATGTCATATTGTTGAGCCCATTATTACAGCTCTAAAATATACGTAATATGCGTAAAATATATGGGGTCATCGTCTTCATTATCATCATCATAATCCTCATAATCATCATTATCACTATTTGTATATTGACGTTTGAATCATTTCTGTTATCATCTTCATCATTACTGCACTATCACGGGCTAATATATATACAATATTAATGTCCGACATGATACATGCCTATATAAACTTACCTCTCACAACTACTCGGAAGAATGCATGCGTCTTATCGTCATAGTCTCCGTCCCTGTAACATTCGTATATACCAGACTCTTCAACATAAGCTTTTGTAATGGTTAAGACTGGTAATCCATTTGCCCAACCCAGGGCCTCTCCATTAAATTTCCAGCGTAAATCACTGGCTTCTTCGGCATTAGTTGCCAATCGGGTGAATCCACCAAAGGAAACCCGCACAATATCATTAACAGGACTAATTTCAGCTAGATTTAAAAATCAAAATATATAATTTATATTAATGTCCAACATTGTTATGACAATATTTGGCCATAGTGTTAAGTCTGATGATGATGATGATGATTAAAATAATGATATCGATGTTGATTACAACAGCAAAAACAAAGACAACAATGTCAAAGACAACAACAATAATAGCTAGACTTACTATGTCTGTTTGTAAAACAGAACATATGACTTTTCCTCATTGCTATAATGAGAAGTGATGTTGAAATTTATAAAATTTAAACTCATTTAAAAAGTCTAGCAACAAAAACAAAGGCTATTATAAAAATTATCAAGAAATAAAAAACAGGGTAAATAATTCAAAGTTAGTAAAACTCAAACTATAGAAATTTTATCATTTCTTCATTGGACCATGAAAAATTATTCTGGAAAGTTTCATTTTGATCCAGTTATAACATTAGCACTTTCAATGACCCTCAAATTCACACCCGAATTAAGATCGTCACCACAATTCAATAATTTCTTCCATGTAACTTGGTTAAACTTTTTTAAAGTTCCATTCAGATCAGTTTATCCATTTTTAAAATATCTGGTCTGGAACTTTTTCATTTAAATGGTCACCATGTTACCAAAATTCGATCATTTCATTACTGAACCATGGCAAACTATTATAGAAATTTTCATTTAGACCGACTGATTATGTTTTTGTGATATTTAGGTTTGGGACGTCAGGAATTTAAATAACCCTTATATTTACACCCTACACTGGATTGTCACCATAACATAAACATTTCTTCCTTGTAACTTGGTTCAAACTTTCCCAAAAGTTTCATTCAGATCAGTTGAACAGTTTTAGAAATATCTGGCCCGGTCCTTTGAATAGTCTTCATATCCACACCCTACTCCACATCGTCACAAAAATTTAATCATTTCTTCATTGCATCATCACAAACTGTGAGTATGTGTTTTGAGATATTAAGGTCTGGGACATTAGAAATTTAAATGAACCTCAAATTTACACCCTAAACTCTATCGTCACAAAAAGTTTTTTAACTCGGTTAAATTTCACAGAAGAATCATTGAGATACAGTAAGTCGATAATAGTTTTTGAAATATCTGGTCTGGGAGGGTTTCATTTCAATGGTCCTAATATCCACAACCTACTCCAGATTATCACCAACTATATATTATATTATTATTATAACTATTACAATACTATTATAGAAATTTTCGTTTTGACAAATTGAATATGTTTTTGTGATATTTAGGTATGGGATATCAGAACTTCAAATTTACCCTCAAATTTACACCATAACTGGATCATCACCAAAACATAATAATAATAATAATTTCTTCCTTGTAACTTGGCTGAACTTCCCGAAAGTTTTATGCAGATCAGTTGACCCATTTTTGAAAAATTTGGTGTAGAGACATTAAATCCCCATAATTGGTCCTCACACCCACACCCCACTTTAGATTGACACTAAATATTAGGAGGTGCATCCTTGATATGGAAAAGAGCCAACTTGAAAAATTTGGTGTAGAGACATTAAATCCCCATAATTGGTCCTCACATCCACACCCCACTTTAGATTGACACTAAATATTAGGAGGTGTATCCTTGATATGGAAAAGAGCCAACTTGTTTATTATAATTGTACTATGTGTAGAATATCAAATAAAATCAATCAATAAATAAATCAATCAACCATTGAAAGTGACCAAAGTGCCTGCAGGATAACACAAAGCAACAAAGATAGGAAAAAAATGTGTAAGAAAAAAAAAGAACAGAAACAATGGCTTTCCAGCTACTGCTGGTAAAAGCCAAAAATAATATAACAACAATAATAATAATAAAACGCATCAATTTAAAGACGTATCAAATTCAACAGAAGGTTTATTTCTTGAAAATTTGATAATACAGAATAAATACATTTTCTTTAAACAAGTTTGAGGGTCCAAATTTCAAAAAAGCAGAGGTTGGAGAGGAGAGATAGAGACAGAACAAAACAAAAAACAAAACACACACACACACAAGAGAAGAGTGTAGCACACAAAACAAGACAAGAACAAAAAAGAGACGATGAAATGGGTGACAAGACAAGAGAAGACAGACAAAGCAGACACACCAGACAATGAGGCAGAATCAAATTGATTCTCAAATAAGTAAATAATTTTTCTTAATTGTAGAACTGTTTCATCATTATCCTTGCATGAACAGCACTGGCTTCCCTTGAAGAAGTATGTTAGCTTTATGATCTTGCTGCTCAATGGCCTCGCAAAGGTATACATTGGTGATGTCCTTACCCAACAAACCTCCTGTCGTAGTCTTTGTTTCAATTCACAGAATTGGCTTGTTCCTCCTAAAGTGAACACCCTCACATATGGTAACCGTGCAGTATCTCATGCAGCTCCATACTCTTCCAGATTGCATTAAGCATACACATTTGGTGACCATTTTTAAGAGTCAACTTAAACATATCTGTTCTGTATAGCATTCTCAGATTATTTTTTTTCTTTTCCTTTTAGCATGGTTGGAAATTTGTTTTCTTTTTCAATTTTACTTAATGTAGCATTTAGAGGTTTCATAACATTGTGTAACGTTTTGCTGTTTTCTTGTGGTTTTTTTTGTGTGACATATCACAAAAACGGCTGCACAGACATGATTAAAAATTACAAAGAGTGTTAGGTACAACTCAATAAAGAAATGATTGAATTTTGGTGACGGTTCGTAGTAGGATGTGAATGTGAGGACCATTTAAAGGGATTTAAGAGCAAACGTTCTAACCAAGATATTTCAAATACTAATCAACTGATATGAATAAAATTTTTTTGTGAGAGTTTAACCAAGCTACAGGGAAAAAATTTTTTGTTGGTGATGATTCACATTTGGGTGTGAACTTGAGGGTCATTTAAAATTTAAGGTTGTGCATGTTTATTGTGTTCAAAATATCTCAAAAACAGTTGTACAGATCAAAATGGCAGTTACAAAGATCATTATGTATGACCCAAGAATAAGGCGATTCAATTTTGGTGACGACCTGGAGTAGGGTGTGGATATGATGGACCATTTAAAGGAAAACTTCCTAGACCAGATATTTCAAAAACTAATCAACTGTTGCATGGAAGAAATTTGAAGTCTTAGTGAACATCCATATTTCGGGTGTGCACTTGAGGGCCATTAGGACCCAGACCTGAATATCTCGAAAATGGATAAGTGGATAAAAATGACAATTGACAGAATAGTTTGTCATGTTTTAATAAAGAAGTGATTATATTACAGACCATTCAAAGCAAAACCTCCCAGATCAGATATCTCAAAAACTTATCAACTGATCTGAATGAAACTTTCGTGTTAGCGTAATTTTTCTTAAGTAGATGGTGGTTGGTGTTTGGAATATTATACCAAGATATATTGCAATCCTTTTGGTTTTTTTTTTTTTTGGTTCTTTTTTTTGTTTTTGTTTTTTTCTTTCTTACAGTAAAAAAAATAAAACATAAATGTGACTTTCTACTCACCATCGTTAGGCTGAAACCATGCTGTTGAAGTTGTGGTAAATCCATTGTAGGTAGCTGTACCCAAGAATGGACCAACTCTTTGCGCAGCAGAACTGGAAGCTCCAATTGTAATTTCCATACCAACTGAGTCTTCATCTGTGGAGTACGTAAAAGTGGAATCGCTGGCGAATGGTCCTTCGCCAGTATCATTGTATTGCAACTGCACAGAGTCATCGGACAAGTAACTAATTTCCATGTCTTCAGTTTGTGTGTCGCCGAGCGAGTAGAATCTCAATATCACTTGAGGGTCACTTGACATATCGGTGTATGGTGGGTCAAGTACGATTACCACGTCAATGATATCATCTAATAATAAATACGAGAAATACATAACAGTATTTAAGACCAATGACCATTGGCGGCACCATATTCTCTGACGAGTGCACTAAGGCTCTAGACAGAGGGCCCGATGTCATCACGGAAAGTCCAAGTTCCCAACAGAGGTCAAAATTCACCATAGCCCTACAGTGTTCAGTGCCAATTTTAAGAACAGGCACCTGTAGTTGTCTGGAAATGGCACTCTTAGACTTTAAACAAGTTTTTTAAAACAGCGTTGCCCAACAAATTAATTGAATTTACCAGGGTTCCCTGGCGAGAGATCTTGTGCCCACAAGGCCTTCGCATGTGTCGTAATTGCCGATAAACTGCTTTAAAGAGACATCAAAATATACTGTATGCGTAATAAAATCGAACAACAAAATGCGTATTTTAGTAAGAATTTGGCAGTGAAGTGGCAAAATCGGCAACTGGTGGCGCGTGACATATAGTTATGACAACATTTTTAAAAAAATTTGTTTGAAGTGTTTCTGTTGCAAAGAACATGTTCAACAGTATTGGTTGAAACACCAGGAAAATTCCTTTGAAACTGCGGAACTTTGAAATATTGCCAGAATGTTTTGCTAATATTCCAAATGTTAATGGCCTTAAAAATTTAGATTTTAAAAGAAGTGTTATAGGCCACTGCCTATCTTCGATCAGATTAAGTATGGGAGTCTCTTCGATCTGCATAATGTGAACGGAATACAATATAACTTCTAGTCTAAGTCATGGTTTAAGGAGGATTCTGTGAATTAGTTAAGGGTCTAAAATGCACAGAGAAACAAGTATACAAAAATATCCTGCATCTGAACCTTTACACTGGTCCAACTTTATGTCACACCAATGAGTATATAGAACTGCAATTCTATACTTTTTGGCCAAACCAACTAAAAATCTACAAAAACTTAATTGTTTGATGTTGTTTCATTGTAAGTTGATAATTGATTTGATCTTTTTAAATGAGATATCACATTTTTGGGAGTTTTTAGAATAACCAGAGGCAGTGTAATCTTAGAAGTTTTTTATGATAGTATAGTCAAAATCAGGGCCCCCGTGACCATTTTTATGGGACAAAGGTTTCTCTACTGATATAGCAGCATTACAAGGGTATAAATATAAAATTGAGCGGGGTGAACCTTAAGAAAAAGAGTGGAACACATATATTTGGTGGCCATTTTGAAAATGGCCGCCAAAATTCAGATATCGGCTCGTAATTCACTTATATTCAATAAAAAAAGCAAATCAGGTGTTTAAGTATATGTTATTGGGGTCATTGAATCAATGAGACATGTTTCGGAAACCTAAAATGTAATTGCCATTTGGAATCCAAGATGGCTGCCGCAAAAATGTCAAAAAATCAAATAGTTGAGTATAATTCCACATCTACTTTATGAAAAATGGCAAATTTGTGTCTAATCATATGTTTTTTGGCTCCCTCAGTCAAATAAACATTGTTTCAAAAAGCTAGGATGGCAGCTATTTTTAAATCCAAAATGGCCACCACAAAAACTGTCAAAAATCGAATATTTTGGTATGTAATTCCACTTCTCAATCAAAAATGGTTAATTTGGTATATAATCAAATGATATTGTCCCTTCTGAGTTCAATAAACATGTTTTCAAAAAGCTATTTGGCAACCATTTAAAAAATGGCTGCCAAAAAGGTGTTCCACCCTTCCTGCCCTGCTCTAATTTTGTACTTGTACCTTAGTGATGCTAAAGCAGTAGAGAAACCTTCATCCCTGAAAATGATCACAGGGCCCTGATTTTCACTATGCTATGACATAGTTTTTACCTGGTACAACGCACTCTCCAGACCATTTATCACACGTGAAAGATGAGTCACAATTGCATTCATATTGACATTGGTCACCGTGGTAGCCAGTTGGGCACTGCGTAGATGGCAAATACTCTGTAAGAAAATGCATGGTATGCATCGCTATTACTCAAGTCATGCCTAGTTGTGATGTGACCTATGACCATGCCTAGAATGTACTGTTTACGAGTTGCGATTGGCTTAGAATTTGCAATGGGCTCAACTTACCTGTACAAAAAAAAAAAAACTTGTTGACGGAATAAAAAAGAACATACATTTGTATTTTGACTATAAAACGCAATCTTCAATTATAGGCTAACCAACTTTTCCTAATAGCAGGCCCTAGCATTAGTTGCGTATCTAGGTAGGGGCGAGGTAAAGTGAGGGGTTCGACTATTAGGTGAGCGGGGGCTAATATGGAAAAATACTTTGATTTGAGGTGTTTTTTAACTATTTCAAAATGATTTTGGGTGGGGGAGCTGTCTCTTATACACATCTAGATGTGGCGAGCATTTGGGGGCGTGCACCATTATTAATAGGCCTATTATTAATAGCATTTCCATTATTATTATTATTACAGTTATTTGTATTGCTAATGGTTATATTACAGTACCTGTACAAGTATCGCCGGTCATCCCATCACTGCAGCTACTGGAACTGCAACCACTATGGTAATTGCACTCATCATCCGGACATGAACAGACTAACTTGCAATCGGGGCCATATGTTCCTGCAGAACACCCTTTAAAAAAACATTGTGGTAATATTAATGCTTTACTACTAGCTGTAGACCTATAGGTTTATTTTTTAACAACAATGCGATTCAACGACAGTGAGAAGTATTGAATATAAAACTGCAAGTAGTGTTGGTGGTGGTGGTAGTCGTAGTAGTAGTAGGAGTTATAGTGGTAGAGGCAGTGATGGTGGTGGTAGTGGTGGTAATGGTGGTAATGGTAGTGCTGGTAATAGTGGTGGTGGTAGCAGCTAGCACTAAGTGCAATAATTTTGTTAGATGATTCTTTCAAGAAAAAAAAAAGAGGGAGGCCGAAACTGAGATGGTTAGACTGTGTAAGGAGAGACATAAAGGCTATTGGAGCTACAGAAGATGTGGTCCGTGGTAGAGAAAGCTGGAAAAGGATAGTGTCTGCCTCAGCGACCCCACCTTCAAGTGGGAGCAGCTAGAAGAAGAAGAAAAATAATTCTGTCTGTGGTGAGCTTATAAACTTGGCCAATAAAATTCAACATTGTATTGGCATACTTTAACTACTGAAATAAATTATTATCTATCAAATAAATGAATCAATAAACAATCAACAATAGAAAATAAAAATAGCCACACTATAATAATTCAGTTAATATGTGAAAAATTAAAAATCGTTGAGTTTGTTTGATTTTTATAAACAGATTACAAAATTAATCAAATTAGTTGAGTGTGCATAAAAACTTACTTGTCCCACAGTCTATTCCAGAAAAACCTCCTGCACAAGTACACCCAAATGGTTGAGGTCTACAGAATCGGTTACCTATGCACTTGTCAACACCACTACTGCATGCCATGGTGCCGCTCTGTCCAAAATCACTTGTAGAGTGCGCTGAAACATTTAAAAATAATACATAGGGAATATAATAATAAGAATATTAATAATAATAATAATAATAATAATAATAATAATTCTATGTAGCATATAAACAGTCATCATTGTTATTCTATCATTTCTACTTTTATGAATTGTTATTTCTTAAAGATGTGTTGACTCCCAAAAATTGGAATAAAACAGTAAAAATTGATTAGCTCATACGTTAATAACAGACTGGGATCAAACAAAATAATTTTTGCTGATTTACAGAAATTTTACTATAAAAATCCCAATATTAATTGTATAATTATTTAAAGTCCAAATTTTTAGGGTTTGTGTTTTCCAAAGATTTAAAATAAGGACTAACAAAACAGGCTCTCATACTCTGTCATGGATAGGCAACAACATTTCGTAGGCCAACTATAGGCTTATCCTATATTAGTACCACGTAATTACTTTTTCCGATGTCATTTTGAAGTTGTTTTGCGCCATTAAATTTAATGAGTGATGTTTTCTTTTATATAAATCCAACAATTTTTGAGTTCCATCATTTAATGTCATCAATTGATTGTAATGTGTTATATTATTTATCAAAACATCTGTATTTAGCTTAAATAAGAAGACGTGATACTTTCTTCCGTTCTCTAAATGTTACTTTCTGTAAAGGTTCCGGAGTCTTAAAATAAAATTAAATGTCCTAGACCATGGGCTCTAGGAACGAATTATATCCTCAGCCTTTAGAATGTGCTGGATAAGCACTACATAATATGCACACTTTTGGTACTACCCTTGCTGCCGCTAATTTTTCTACTTCCGCGTTTCGCCTCCATAGAAAGGCAGGTTGCGTTTCCTCAAACAATCAGAATGACACTTCCGTAAATCAAGTTTCGGCGTGTGAATAGGAATTATTCCAAGTGATGGAATACCAGCGAAAGAGCAATATCCAAATACTTTTAATTATTCTTAAAAATATTTCAAAGCGTAAAATAATTGTATGTATAAAGTCATAAATTAAACTATTTTAATCTTTAGAAATAATAATTGTAATAAAAAATGAAAAAAAAAAGTTAATTGAAAATCTTTTATCATCATAAATGATAAATTTACACCTGACATGTACCGAATAATCCGTACGCTCCTGAATACTTGCGAAAAAAAATATCACAAGAGATTTGTGTTCGAAACGAGCCCACGACCTTCATATAACTAGCCTGGTGCTACCACATGATCTCCGAGCTTGCACTTAGTAGCTAATGCTGAACCCCATTCCCAATGGATTTTTTCGCTAAAATTGCTAAGGTGTACAAAACGACAGTGTTAAAATATCGCAAACACTAACTGTATTTGTGAAATGTGCGCATTCCTGGTGCTGTTCTGATTGGTCAGCTGTTAAGTTTAATTGACACTTCGGAAAGGTTTATCATCTGTCCCTTGGATATTGTTGCTAAGGTGTGGTACCTTAAACAACGTAAACATTTGGATTGGTCGGTTTGACTTGGCATTTTGGAAAGATCAATTGTATAGGACAAAGGTGATGACTGATTTAAAATAAATATACGCACCTGTCTCACATAGATCACCAATGTAGCCGGCTGGGCATAGGCATGAACAAGAATGAGGCTCACACACTGCCCCGTTCATACAGTTTGGACAGTCCATTCGGCAATTTGGCATACCACATTTTCCTGTTGGGCATTCTGTTTTTGTTGTAAAATCATTATAAATAATAATAATATTGTAGTACACAATAACATGAATAAGTATTAACATATCTAGGCCTAGGCTAACTAAAAAAGACACGTGATTGACTTCAATTATAATTTCTATCTAGTTTAGAACTATAATAATTGTAATATTATATAATAAATGAATAATATTAATAATACAAATGTGCATATCATGCTCTTACTGAATGCCAATGTATTGCGTTTTCAAGATTGAGTGTGCCCTCAATTGATCATTACTTTATTTTAGCTAATAATAGAGGACAGGAAAGGTTAGTTCCCCTGTGATATGCAAAATACTGTAGACTCACTCACCTCTGACAGACAGCTTGAAAAAGGCGTGTTCCTTTTCAGGGCGTCTTCCATTTATGTAACATTCATAGATGCCGTCATCTTCGACAGTGGCTTTTAATATTGTGAATACTTCAAGACCGTTGCCTTGTGGAATCTCCTCTCCATTGTGACTCCATCGAAGCTCTTGGTTTTCATTTGCATCTGTCCGAAATTGAACATATCCACCAACCGATGCGACTACGTACGGATTGATTGGCATTACATAGGCTTTTTATTAGAAAGATTGAAGACAAACGTTTAAATAATACCCTGATAGACGTCAGACAGCTATCGGCAAATTATCTATATTAGATTCTGCTTTTGCTATTGCGCTTGGCTGCTGTTGCTATTGCCGTCGCAGCTGATATGAGGCATGTCATGGCGAAATGGTTAAGTTGTCGCACAGGCCAGTATTGAGTAAATGAGCTATACAATATGCGAGCTCCAAAAATTGCCTAAAAATCCAAATTTGTTTTTCACTATAGATCAATAGTTTATTGTCTTATTAATCATGTACCAAAGTATTAGTTCTGGAAGTGGTCAGCAAATTGTTTATTTTATGTTATTTTGATAGTTCATTCTATTAAACAACGTATGCACAAAAAATTTTGAAAGGCAATTACTCAAAATCATGTTTATCTTGATTCTAATAGTACTGTGCTTTCACTTTATAATAACTTAGGCTTGAAATGTCCAATTTCAATGAATGACCCCTCATTTTAAAGATCATATACTCAGGTATCTGAAAATACCAATAGCTTGAATTTCAATTTTTGCTACAACTTAGCCATTTTGCCACAACATGCCTCATTTGGCTGTGTGTGCATGTACTTGGTAGAATAGTAATTGGTGGCATGTTTGGGTGGTACTTTGGATACGCAGTTACTTCACATTTTGTTTATTTGGCACACATTTATAACCTAAATATTTACTAAACTCAAAATGCGCCAGGTTACATGAACAAATTACAACTAATAATTATATAATTATAATTATTATTAATTTATAGTTATTTCATACACAAAGGTAATTAAAATGGCAGTCCCATAGTGTTCACTTCTCTGTCATCCATTTTTGTAAATTTTAGCGGTCAAAACAGATTGAACGGGAGATAAGGATGATTACATTTTCAATGAACACAAGGAGGACCAGTCTGGCTTAGTCCATCCGCTGCTCTCCTCGTTTTACAGATGGAGGGCCGAAATAAAAGTCACGATAGTGCACCGTTTTTTAGATGAGACGTTTAAGCCACTGGTCTTGTGTGCAATATGCCTCCTGTGCAAGTTAAAGAACACAGTACACTCTCTATGGCAAAGAGTAAGGGATTGTTTTCTGCTGTACTGCACAATTCACCACCATAATGACCCCAATGGAAACAATTCTTCACACTTAGTGGGTTATCCTTGGTATCATTCACACCAAAAATACTCTTATATTATATATTTTTTATTATATATGTTTACTACTTGGTAGAGACCATATATATATAAAAGGAAAATGGCAGATGAAAAACCTTGTTTTAATGTATTTAAAATTCAGTTAAGGAAATATTACTTTATTGGAAACATATAATGCGGCTTTAAATTGAAATAATGACTCATGGGAAAGTAAATGGAAAGGTTTGCATACTTTATTTTGAGTTGATATTATCTTTTCCAATGTTTTTGTTCTACTTCCCTGTTGTCATATATTGTATTTAATTTGCTTCAAAATGTTCACTATGTGTACATGTACTGATTTCTGAATATAAAATTTGAAATGAAAAAAAAAAATACTCCTTAATTTAAACATGCAAATGTGGGACTGATGTATATCATAGCGCTCTTGTAAATTTGCATCAACAATAATAAAACGTTACTTGCACTTGAAATAGAGGGGAGGCTCTTACCTTATCGCCACCCACTGTGTAACTTGGGGGCTCAGACAATTTGATGTTGGTGATGTTAACAGCTGGGGCATCGTCTACGGGTTGAGCAGGACCAAGTCCATGAGGCTTATCGCTTTGGATCAACGCTGAGATGGCCTTAATAGCAGCATCAGCCTTGGCACCAAGAGCTTTACCATGCCAGTTCTCAAGATCTTCCACCTCTACAATGGATAAAAATAATTATAATTGTTTCAATAATAATAATTACTATTTAATATAGATGTATTTATTTAATATAGATGTTTTGTAAGTCTTTTTATGTCTTTGTAATAAAAACCTTTTTAGCATTTTGTTGCTGTTTGTAATTTTTTATGTTTTTTAAATTAAAAAAAAAAATAGTTTAACGTCTGAAGATACTAATAAGAAAATACACCATAAAAATTGTATCATAAAACTTAAATACGTAACTGGCACGTGAAAATGTTGTCACGTTATATTATAAAAGAAGCCAATAATAATATGGAAACAAACAGACCCAAACGAAGAATTGGTCGGTCAGTCGGTTTGGATATTTTTGTACTATAGGCCACATTCTAGAATTCAGGGCTAACCATTACTAACACTATGTATTTTGCCTGATACAATGGTAACCATTGGGTAACCATACTTAATGGTTTCAAATCATCTAGCATTCTTTATTTTGAATCATCGTTTTGGCAATCTGATTCTTGATTATCAAAGCGAAGGACTCTCTTTGGCAGAATTACATCATTACATTACATGAAAAAACATCAAGATGTAAAAAAGCTGAATTGGACTTTTTTCATTTGGGGAGAAAATAACTTCCTGCAAAAAATTTAAAAGTGGCTTTTTTTTTTCATGAGCATCCGTAAAAAGGATAATTCACACAAAAACACAAAATTGTTTTTCTAATACATGCATTTTACTGAGAATGTTGTTGATGTAAAATTATCATTTTTGTTGGAACCCACTAATGCAAGGAAAGTTGAATGCTCTCCCCACAAGAAGTGTTTATCCATTTGTTATTGCATCACAAGGGAAGTCTCTGATCTCGATGGTCACACAAGTCAAAGAGGCAAAGTGTGCGATTCCCAAAAACATTTACATATAGTATTTCTGTATTGGATAAATGGTCAAATATATCGTTCCTAACTAGTAGCCCTGTAGACTCCTGAGAGTTTCAGTAGGTCAGGCATCTGTTCACAATGTGTAGATTATAAACATGTGTTGCTCCACAAAACTGCATGGAATCAAATGGCAGTCGAACAGTTATACCTGGGCAGCCTTTTCCTTTGAAGGTCTTGGCAAGAATTGCTGTTGGCTTGTCCTTAGTAACTGATGCCTCATGGAAAACCTTACACAGATCCTCAACATTGTGTCCATCAACAACCACGGAATTCCATCTACAAATGGAAAAAGAGAACTAAGTTCATCCACGAAGTCAAGTGAATTGGAGTAATCATGCATTAATCTTGCCAATAGTGAAAACATCCTGAGCTATCCTAGGCTGTGATGTAGCATTAGCCCCATTTTTTAACCTTGTGTACTGGCCAATATATGGGCCTTAATGTGATTGGAAAGAAAGTGAAGAGGCCTTAGCAATGCAATATATATGGCTAGTATCAGGGGAGAATATGTGGGGGCCAACAGGGACCCAAACGAAAAAAAAAAAAAAAATAGAAAATTAACAAATGCACTAAGAACACACTAAAAAAACAGCTAACTTTCGAATAAATTTCCATGTAGCAATGTTTATGATCAAACATTTCTAAACAAAATTTACTAACACCAACCCACCCCCTGCTCAGTGCATCGCACATCATATCCCCCACCCCCAACTACATTTTTCCCTGGACCTACCCCTGAGTATCATCTTAAAAATCACTCAAAAGATTGAGAGGGGAAGGGGGTTGGCTTGCTATGCCTGCAGTAGACTTATCCAAAGGAATGTGTTAAGCTATTAAATGACTAAAGATGTTGCATACCCGAAAGAATCAAATCTCTTTTGATATGTATCCATCTCGTGCCCGAGGGCAGTAGGCTGGCTTTGGCCGAGTCGGTTAGCATCCAGGATCAGCACCAGGTTGTCCAGTTTGTAGTGGCTGGCAAAGGCGCAAGCCTCCCATATGGAACCCTCCGCACTCTCTCCATCACCAATCAAGCAGTAAACACGGTAGCTACAAAACAAGATAATTGTATATTGTTAACAGCTGTAACATTAATTTTCCTATCCTTGAAGATAGACATGGAAAGTGTCCTCAGTACTCATCACAAAAATGCAGGAATTGGATAAAGATTGTTGAATGGACATTCTGCAGAATTCTAGTAAGAATGTGCTTTCAATTTCCATCCAGTTACTATAGCAACACAAGGGAAGTCTCTGAGCCCGATGGTCAAACAGGTCAAAGAGGCAAAGTGTGCATCAACTTCACTAGTTTTATTTTATTTTACAAAAACATGCAATGCCTAAATACAGTTGACTATATAGGCACATCATGACTATATATGGGCACATCATGACTATATATGGGCATATTGTACAACAGAGCTAAGATTCTTATTGGCTATCCATTGACATGATTATAATTTTGCTCAATTTATGTTGCTGCTCACGGGGAAAAAAAATTGTATTTTGTTAGGATATATTTTACTTACCTTGCTTTGTCAAAATATTTGCCAGTGTACGCCATGCCGCAAGCATTGCTGAGACCTTGACCAAGAGAACCGGTAGCAACATCTACAAAATCAAGTCTCTAAAAAAAAAAAAAAAAACTTTTTTTCAATAGATTAACAGTTGATGTACCTCAACATCTAATATTTGTAACAGAATTATAAAAAAATTGCCATTAAATCAAATAAATGATTATAGTTTTACTCTTTAAACCCAACAGAAATTTACCATTTATAGAATAAAATAAACTCTCTTAAATCTAAACTGAGAGTGTGGAATTGATTTTAGTCTTTTTTAATTTCTTGTTTTAGTTTCAAGGTTATTTATTGTGTAGCTAAATAGATAATTTTTTTTAGTTTACTTTTTTTTTTGGATAATGTATTTCTTCTCTTAAGAATTTCATATGGATGGGAGTGTTATACAATTTTTACCGTAATTAATGATGCAGCCAGCAACCCAGGACTCCGGGATTAGATGGCATTACCTACTGTAGCTGCTATGGATCTATTATAATGCAAGTTACTTACGGGCGTTGGATGTCCCTCAAAGGTGTTGTCAACCTTGCGAAGATCCATCAACTTTTGTAGAGGGTATCCGCCATTCTCTACCCAACAAGCATACAAGATGGGTGCTGCATGGCCCTAAAACAATACATTACACAACCACATTAGTTATTTCACTACAAAAGCTGCAATAGAAATCCTCTACTATTTAATTAACACATTCATTTTAAGCATACCTTATAAACGTGCATTAATATTACAGGTATGCATACTTTTTTTGGACATGGAAAAGTATTATTTTATTATTATACTCTGTAGGATAGGAATTAATGTGAAGTTTCAGGAAGTTATCTTTGAAAATTGACAAGTTTATATCCAGTAGATATGGTAACACAAGGGAAGTCTCCGATCTCGATGGTTACACAAGTCAAAGAGGCAAAGTGTAATGTATTTAGATAAAAAAAAAAAAACCTTAACTATACACCCCACTCCACCAACACCTTGAATGGTTCCATGATAAACTTGTTTCACTATGATAAAGTTCATGGGTTCACCTTCCTATTTAGTGCAAGTCTTTTTCTACAGTATCCATATGGTGCTATTGTAGGGGTTCTCAATTAAAGTTGAACAGCATCCAAGTAAATTGAATCCATCTGTAAGGTCTAATGATCAAGCAAAGTGAAAAAGGGTCTACAAGGAGGCCACTTACAACGCAGCGCAAAATAATGCAATAATGGGTTTTGGCCTAGTGGCTATCACTATGTCCAGTAATTATTTTAGGCTTTTTACGAAAATGACGCGCGGGCCGCCAGTTCAGAATCTGTGTTAGCGCCTGGTCCCAACACTTTGGCTACTAAGTTTACTTCTTACCTTTGAGAGCACGAACCTATCGCTGTTGCAGTCCCTCTGATCGTTCAATTTGTACTTCATGACATGAAAGAAGAGTACGGACATAATGTCCGCCATACTGCAACATGATGTTGGATGTCTAAAATTAAGAAATAAATATTAATCAATCGAAAAAATATAGCACCAAATTCCAACATGTACACTAATGCTCAGTAGCATTTAATGATGATAGTTTAAAGTCATTATGTACACAGCGTTACTCCCATAATTACTACACTGTTGGTGGAAAAAACGTAAATATGATGAATAATTTACACAAAAGATGACTGTACTTAATTAAATACAATATTTTATGTGAAGAGGAAGTGGGATAAATTATAATAAAAGGCACAGTGTGCACATCAATCAATATGTATCAATAGCATTCTTTCAGGTCTTATTAATTCAATGTTTTATGATCATGATCTTTCCTATGCTACCCTTATTTTCATCTACCTCTGAATAAAACTCTTCCATTTAAACCTTCATAATTCCCAAACATATGCTTTAAAACTCTGGCCAATATGTTATGTCCATATTTGGCTATAATGATGCCAAATCACATTAAAATCATTAGAACTTGTTGCATCAAAACATGGTAATATGGACATACTATAGCTTTAGTGAGAACAGAGTCAGTCATACCCTAGATTAATAAAAATCACATTTTCAATAAATTAAACATTTTTGAGGAAAATATATTTGTATAATATATGTAATTGGTGTAAGATAGATTGTTAAATGGAGATCAATGCAGAATTCTAGTAAGAATGTGCTTTCAATTTCCATCCTGTTACTATAGCAACACAAGGGAAGTCTCTGAACCTGATGGTAACACAGGTCAAAGAGGCAAAGTGTGCATCAACTTTTTAAGAGTTTTATTTTACTAGTTTCACATTACAGTTACTGGTAATAGTATTTCACCATAATAATATTTCACCACAAATAGAAGATATCACTACAAATATAGTTTAAAAACATTTACAATCTTTCAAAAGTTTAACAAAGTACAGTATACTAGTCTACCACAGGTACAGTAATTCAGTTTCAAATTCAACAATCAACAATTTGTGCTTACAGTAGTATTTTTACAGTCTACAAAAAAAATGGCTAACTTTAAACCTTAGAGCAAGCAAAGGATTACCAGTGTTGAGTAGATAAAACACAATAAAAATACCACAAACTTCAGGTGAAGCGCACACACCTAAAATTTCCATAACCAGGAAATAGAGAATTTAGGTTTAATACATACATCATGGTCGAACAGGAAGGTCTGCGTTGAAATTTTAGTTCCTGATCCTATAGAAAACTGTGCAAAGTCATCTTGTAACAATGAGGAAAGTATTCGCCTAGTTAACTGTAATACTAAACAGTATAAGCTAGCACACAAATTACCAACCACGTACAGAGGCCAGATAGCTAGGAACCTCTTTGGGGGTTGCCACATGCTTGTCATATTCAGTAGTGCAAAGTTTTAGAGCATATTACGATTGAAACAGCATACTGTACAATAATTCCCAATATTTACATTTGTAGCAGTGTTGCCGAAAGAATCCCTTACCCCTGTGTATGTAGACGGGAGAATATTCACTGTAAATAAAATGGTCTATAGAACAAGAGGGCAAAACCATCTTCCCAGAGTAGTTAACTATAGTAGAGACTGTGTTGTGCCCGCCGCTGGTCACCAAAAGCCTAATTTTAGATTTCCACTCTGTTTATTTATAGTTTCAGTTTAATTGAGAAATGTGGATGCAAATTTGTTTAACCTCTTCACATAGTATATTTAACAATGCTATATGGAAACCTCAAAGTTTGTTTCATTTTCTTTGGTCAAATTAAGAATAACAATTTTGTGGTACAGAAGCTTAACGTGAACAATAGACTGAGCTTACAATATATTTGGAATTTCAATATTCATCTGAAAAGATGCTTTGTCAAATTCCTAAAATTGGTCTACCGCAATATAATACAGTTACTTGGTATTTTATGCAAGTCATTTCATCAATTTTGTTTTTATTGTACTAACCTATCACTAATATTGAACGCATTAGCGAAAAACCTTCGCTTAGCCAGTAGCCTACACTACTTTATATAATCTCTTTATTATTTTTATATTAATTTGTAATGAAAATTGATGAAAAACATCCAAAAAAATGCATTTAAACAATTTTCTAACATCTTTAGAAAATAAAGTTTATCTAGTATTAAGTAGTAGTAGTAGTATAGATTGTAATTGACCAACATGTTTTAAGGCAACGAATATGAATATCTAAACAGGACAGTGGTATCTGTTCATTTATAGGACAGTATATTTTTATAGTGATTTGGAGTGTGGAAATCAAAAACTTGGTTTTGTGTACATGAATAGGTTTACTGAATGCTGAGTCAAAACAGCTTTGTTAAGAGGCTTTCAGTATACCAACTGCTATATATACCTTATTCAATGGTAAATCTGTGGTAAGGACAATTCAATCAAGCTGTACCAAATAACATTCCTACATCAAATGAATGAGTTTTAAAATGAATTGAATGTACAGTAGGGTATCTGGTAATTCTTAGAAGACAAAAAAAAATGGCCATAAGGGAATCCCAAAAAACCCTTTTTGACAGGACACAGAATGCAAATTCACAAATTGACTTACTGTACTGTATGTTTGAAAGGACTGTTGTGGGCGTGGCACCTATCAAGCCAGACAGCAAGTGGAATGGGTTAATATGCCTAACAACAATAACTAAACAGTTGCAATCTGGTTAAATATGGAAGTATAAATTTATGCCTCCATAAAATCATTTAAAGGACTACTTCCTTGAAAAATTCACTTTTTACTTCCTTGAAAAAATCACCCATAGTGCCAGTCCAAACCAAGCTATGTCATTTCCAAATCAATGTAGGGATTTACAATTTTTAAAAGACTTAAAAAGACACCGATTTAAAGGGGCAACATTTACCACAAAGAGTAGCACCATGTCATTATTTTGCCTACTTTAATCATTTATCCAATTAACATGCACAGTATTGCTATAGGTTTTCAGCCGACTTTTTATGGGATTCTGCCTTGAGGAAAGTGGTGGTGCCAGGACCTGCCCGACGGAGGGGCTAAAGGCCCGGACTAGGTGGCTAGTGGAGCGAATCGAGTCTCACTCGGCTGGGGGCTGGCCCCCAGCCAAGCCCCCTGGAAGAGTATGCAATGTAACCATCTAATTTATTTTCAAATCCTCATTCCTGAAAGTGAAATTCTATATTTTGAAATTTTTGCATGAAATCTGTCAACCACACTGTCATGGTCGAGGTTTCTTCACCTATCACGATGTATTCCAACCATCGTGGGGCTATCTAAATGAGCATTTGTCATAACAGAATGCAAATTATTTTTAATTTGTCTCATCGAATTATTATTATTATTATTACGGTTATTGTTGTTGTTGTGATGAAAAGTTAAAACAGTATGGTGACTAAACAAATATTACATGTAAATATTTTTTTTATTTGTTTGTTCCGACAAAATTTATTGTCTGTATTATTTTAAGATAATTCTAAACAAGTATTTCTCTCATCAACTGCCAGCCAAGTTTAACTAAAATCTCTCTTTAGGTCACATAGAAAAAATTGTTAGATTATCACTCCCACCCACGTCAAAACTTTGGGAGATATTGATGTGGGAATAAAAAAAAGAATCTGTCACATCATTTATTTCAACAGCATAAAGAAACAATGAAATTTTGTGACTGGAAATACATTTTCTGAAAAAATGATAAAATTAAACCAGTTTTTATATAATATTTACAATATTCTTGCCAAATAAAATAGTCCCTCCCTCATTGATAAAAAAAGCCAATATACTATTGTTCCAATTAAATGAAGAAAAAAAAAACCGTTCACGCTTATCACTTTTTTTTAAAATAAAAGAGTGTTAATCTAATAATTTTTTTTATGTGCCCTATTTGTATCACTGTTATAAATTAAAATGCTTTTCCTTCAGCCAAATCTTCCAAGTAGATGAAATAGGCCATGCATCCTGGAGGCAAAATAACCAAATAACCAAGTAAGCTTAAGATACAGGAAGTACAGAAAATAACAAATTAAAAATTTGTCTGGTTATCATTTTAAGACTGAGCCTTGATGTACTGTATCATAAATAAAAATAATTATATCACTTTAAGTATTGTTCTATAACAATAATAAACTACCTAGATAAGCCTAGACTAGGCCTAGATGTTAGACCTTTTACTAGTTTTAGTGCAATACCAATATTTTCTCCTGATAAATGTCTAGTTTCCTCCTTTATTAAACTGCATATTCTGAGGGATACATTATCAAGTAGGGCCAAGCAAGGCCTACAAATCCCAACTAACAATAAAATGGAAAACATTACGATTCATAAAAATAAAAATTGTTTGGACAAACCAGAAGAGAATGCAAAAAAAATGTTTTTTTAAGTGAGCATTCAGCTAAAAAACTTTCAATGCATATGTACTGTATGTATGCGGCTTTGGGGTTATAAGTAGGCCTAGCCTAGGCCTATCACGAAATAAACTAATTCCTCCATGCGGCATCAGACACGTGCAGCTAAGCCGCATAAGTGCTGCATCCAGCCGTCTTCTGTCCCGGGATGATGCATACATTCATACAGCCAGCCTAGCTAGGCCTAGGTAGTAACTTACCCGGAGCCTGCGGCACTAGTTGCTTGAATGCTCAGGACTCTTAGTTTATTGCCGATATCTTTTAACTTTTGGATCTTATCATTGTCAGGCTTGTGATAATCTGACATTTTGTATATTTCTTGAATGATATGTGCAACAATCTAACGGACAATCAGCGAAGGTACCCCTCCTCTCTGTTCAGCATGCAGCGCAGTGACAAAAAAGACCGACTGCTCCTGCTGTGTCATGTCATGCATCGAAGAGTATATGCATGCCGAATTTGCATATCCTGCAAGAAAAAACGAGGGGCGCCGCTTGAATTGAACCATGAGGGCGCAACTTCATTTTATACAGTTCACCCCTCAGTTTGTGTCCTCAGTTTGGGAAAGGTTTTTCGTCAAATGTGCTTTTTTTTCTCTTAGAAAAATCAGTTGTACAACATATCAATGTTTTCCTCCTCCCGAGCCTGACTTTAAAGAAAAAAAATTGAGCGGTGGCCTTACGGTATCTATACATGTATCCATTATTTTGTGGGTTTTTTAACCGACAGAAATACCTTAATAGGATCAGTGAGGGGT